TCCCCGAGAGTTCAGAATTTTACTCAAGCCTCTCCTTTGTACTTATAGGCTTGTAGGATCATAGATTCAGAGCTGGAAGATACCTTAGATACCATTAAATCCAACTTGTTTATTTTAAAAGTGAGAAAATTGAGACCCATAAAAGTGAAGGGACGTGCCTAAGGTCACACAACTAGTTAGTGCGTAAGCATTCTCATACTCATATTTTCATTTATCTTGATCTCCCTCATATTATGCTTCCTATTACTAGATTGTAAGCTCCTTGAGAGCAGGACCTGTGTCTTACATCTTGGCTAGTGGCTCAGTATAAAGAATGTCCCCACAAAGTTACCACTTCCACAGCATTGACTCAATCAGTGTATCTAGCCAATGGACCAAGAGCAGGACCTTTCATATAGTAGGCTCTTAATATGTACTGGATTAATGGGGAATGGCTGAACAAATTATTGTATATGATTGTGATGAAATACAGTTGTGCTATAAGAAATGATGAGCAGGATGTTTTCAGAAAAACCTGGAAAGATGCAAAGTGAAGTGAGCAGAACCAGGAGAACATTGTGTACAGTAACAGCAATATTGCAATGATCCAAGACAATTTCTAAGCACTTATAATAAAAAAAAAATGCAATCCACCACCAGAGAAAGAACTGATAAAGTCTGAGTGCAGATCAAAGAATATTTTTTCTTTGATTTCTTTATTTTTCTTGTTTTCTTTTTGTCTGTTTTCTTTCACGACATTACTAACATGGAAATATGTTTTGCATGACTGTACATGTATAACCTATATAAAATTGCTTGCTTTCTCAATGAGAAAGGAGGGAAAGGAGGGAAGGAAAGAATTTGGAACTCAAAAATTAAAAACCAAACAGATGTTAAAATTGTTTTTATATGTAATTGGGGAAAACATTAAATTTTTAAGAATATTCACTGGATTGAATTGATTGTACAAATAAAGTGACAGAGCTGTCCTTTTCCTTGGTCTTCCACCTTCCCACCTTCCTTCCCTCCCCGCACCTCATCTGAGTCTCCAAAGTTGTCTGGGGTACCCAAAGGGGTGGATGCGGTAGCAGGGGTCATGTTGGACAGCAGACAGTTGTGGACTGCTTCCCTGGGGACTGAAAAGGTTTAGGAGCCCAAGCTTTCCACTGGAATCTGAAGGGGACTTGTTAATATGTAAGGCGATAAGAAGCTAGTTAGGCTCTCATGTGCTTCATAGCGTTGCTCTAAGTTCTAGCAATCGGTCCTGTCACAGTGACATCTGGATCTGGCGCTGGTCCAGGCTGGACCAGGAGACGATTCTACTGAATCTAAGCCCAGATAGGTAGGGACCTTGTTTTATTCCTGTAAGTTCAAGAACAAAGAAACCCCCAGAAGGGTGCACATGATATTGTTCTTGGCATTTCCCATAACGTCAGGGTCATTACGTAGCATCAAACCCTGGCTATGTGTAATATAACACAAAAACAAACGTCTCCAAGTCCTGCCATCCCTGTCACCCTGGCTGCTCCTGGAGTAAGTAGTCCCTGGAATGTTGTCAGTGAGCCTCCAGAGGATTGGTTTGTATACCAATACTTTTATTCAGCTACAATAAAAAGCAATTATTTTATCCGCCTGTGTAATCATACCTAGAATACTGACTATGAAGGAATTAACTAGCAGGATAGCGACTTGACCGAGCACAGTTTCCATCTAAGCTCTGTCAAATGAGGTAAGAAGAACAACAACAATAACAATATTAAATACGAACAAAGGACAGCAAGGTATGGCTCATCCTCAAGCATTGGCAATTCAGACATTGGCTAACTAAATGAGAAATGTGGCAACAGCACTAATAATAATCATAGTAATCCTCTGAACATGAAAACATAAGATAATAGCAAGATAGGGTCTTATCCTGGGACCAATTCTAGCTGAATCCCTTCCAATAAAAAATGAGAAAAATAACAATAATAATAGCTGATATTTGAGAGGCAGTGTGGCGTAGGAAATTGAGGGCTGATCTGAAGAGTCAAGATAGCCTCTGACGCTTATGTCTCTTTCTCTCTCTTAATTATTTCCTATTTATCCTGTACATAGTTTGCTTTGATATATTTGTTTGCCTGTTGTTTTCCCTCCTTAGATTATAAACTCCTTGAGGGCAGGGACTGTCTTTTGCCTCTTTTCAGTACCTTCACTGATTAGCACAGTGCCTGGCACATAGTAGGTGCTTATTGATTGGTAGTAGCTGTGTGCCTTTGGACAAGTCACTAAACCTTTCAGTGTTCCAGATAATTCTCTAAGACTTTAAATTGCAATTTGCAAAACAACTGCTGATATTCTCTGGAAGAGGGAGTTTCTGTATTGGCATCTCCCTATACCAGTGAAGGGCAGGTAGGTGGCCCAGTGGATAGAGTGCCAGGCCTGAAGTCAGGAAGACTCCTCTTCCTGAGTTTAAATCTGGCCTCAGATGCTTACTAGCTGTTTGACCTAGGGCAAGTCACTCACCCCTGTTTGCCTCAGTTTCCTCATCTGTAAAATAAACTGGAGAAGGAAATGGCAAACCACTCCAGTATTTTTACCAAGAAAACCCTAAATGGGGTCATGAAGAATCAGGCATGACTGAAAAATGACTGAACGACAACATACCAATGAAATCATAAGTCCTAGCCAAAAAAAGCTGTAATTTATAGAAAAAGGTTTGTAAAATGCTTAGGGATATCCATATAGCAAAACAGGGGGTTCCCCTGATCACCCCAGCCACACATACGTTATCTTACCTGATGTTCACAACAATCCTGTGAGGTATGTACCCTTAGATTTCCCATTTTACAGATGAGGAAATGGAGGCTCAGAGTGGTTAACTGGCTTGCCTAGGGTCACACAGCTAGAAAAGGCCAAAGGTGGGTTTATACCCAGTCCTGGCTGGATACCACCACCACATCCTGCCCCCTGGCACTTCAGACAGGAATCCACGTGGAGGCTTCTTTCAAATAGATGTTTGGAGAAGGCGGCAGAAGTCAAGGGCCTTGAAGACAGCCTTCCCAGGAGCTGAGGAGTCTGGAGCTTTATTGTGACACTGTGTACAGACAGAGCCAGCCTCCGGGAAGGATTTGAAAGGAAAAAAAAAATAATCAAGAGCTCTGAGAGTAAGATCAAGATAAGATAATTACCACATCACCTACAGCCTTCTTAACAAAGTATGAATCTTCATTGCTCTATTAATGAACTGCAACTTAATCGCAGGAGAGCTTTGCAAAGGGCCGTCAGAAAGAATTTTTTTTAAAATCATTTCAGTTCATGATGACATTCATCCGATACTTGGATAATTCTGTTTCCTTTGTGTGACTGATCTTTCCTCACTAGCTCGGCCATTGCTGGCCACTTTGGTTCAAATGAATTAATATGTGTAAAGTGCTGGCAGACTTTAAAGTCCACTGTAAATATTATTATTGTTGTTATTATACTGTATTATTCTATGTTATTGTCATTATTATTTCCCCACACAGACCTTCCGGCTCCTCTCAGGATGGCCTCCTTTCTCGCTATGCTTTGAACATGTCTCAGTTTTTTCTCACCCCCTCCCATTCCCTAATGCTCCGCTTCATTCGGGGGTGGGGGAAGCCTACAGTGAGGTAGAGAAGAAGGGAAGAGGCTTCTGGAGCTGAAGTGACTTGTTGGTGACCACACAGTTGAAGGGAGTGTCTGGGGCAGAATTGGAACAAGGATCTCTCCTAACCTCCAGGCCAGCAATTTCTTTACAACCCGGGCTCTGGGATTACCGTACCTCCTCCTACCCCACTCTTCCAATGTATTTAAAACATATGGTTTTGCTCAGGTCCCACCTTCTCAATGAAACCTTCCTGGATCCTGCCATTCCACTTTACTGATACTTCCTTTCCTCTGGCTGCAGTAATTGTCCTTATTCAATTAGCACTTAATCTCATATTGTCCCCTATAGCTAGTCACCTCAACACATATATGAGTCTTAGCTCCCCAGCTAAACTGTGAGCTTCCTGAGGACAGAGACATTCCTCCTATTTCTCTTAGAAAATCAATCAGTTAATAAGCATATATTAAACTAGGGCAGTGGATAGAGCACAGGGCCTGGAGTCAGGAAGACCTGAGTTCAAATCTGGCTTCAGGCAACTTGCTAGCTGCGTGAGCCTAGGCAAGTCACTTAACCCTGTTTGCCTCAGTCTCCTCATTTGTAAAATGAGCTGGAGAAGGAAATGGCAAACCACTCCAGTACCTTTGCCAAGAAGAACCCAAATGGGGTCATGAAGAGTCTGAAACGACTTAACAACAACAAAAAATTACTATATTTGTTTGCATTTATACTATTTTTATTTATTCTGCTTATATATGTCCTTGTTGTTTCCCCTATTAGAGTGTGCTCCTTGTATGTAAGGATGGTTTCATGCATTATATTTGTCTGGTATGTACTCAGCACTTAATAAATATTTGATTGATTGATTGATTAAATGTCTTCTATGTATCAGGTATTATATTAGGTGCTGGGGATACAAAGTCAAAAATTAAGCAACTGCTACCCTCGGGAAACTTCCATTCCCTCAGAGGTTGGACCGATAAGGCCACTTTTTAGATTTAAGCCTAAATCAAACACTTTAACAATGACATCCTCGTAGAACTGGGCCTAAGCTGGTGCTGAGTCAAATACTTGTTAATTTTTTCTTCATTAGTAGATTTAGGAGAGGAGAAAACTAGTATTAATTGAGGGACAGCCAGGTCAGGACTGCCTAAGAGGCCATCATCAGAGTTAAGGAAAACTGGAATGCCAGACCGAGACAGGCAGAAGGTTGGTTGTATTTCTGTCCGTTGAACAACGCTCTGTGTCTCTGAGGAAACTTTTTGACCAATGGCCCTGATCTACCCAGGTTACCCAGCATAGCAGGACTCTCAATGCCCTGGTTCTGACTCACTAAGCTCCTTTCCTGGCCTTTCTGGAAGCATTCTGGTCCCCCTGGGCAGCCCTGTGTAAATCAGTCATTTCTTTTTTCCAGTGGGCTGTTTGTGGGTCCTGCCGGTAAAGAGCCACAGGTGGACCTCCTTATATGGAAGATGGAGCAAGAATCCAACAGCAAGAGAGCCTCCACTTTGGGAAAGGGAAGGAGAGATATTCTAAGGAGGATCAGGATTCTGAGGAAGGGGAGATCCCCAAAGGAAATGTGGGTTGGGAGGTTCTGGGGTGGTGGGCTGGCTGGAAAGGACTGACACAGACCTGGCTTCCCTGCACATGTGCGCACTTGTGTGCGCATGTGTGCGCGCACACATACACACGCGCGCGCACACACACACACACACACACACACACACACACACACACACCAGCATATGGAATAATGCTGCCTTCCCCCACGGTTTCCAGGAGGCTCAGCAGGGGGTGAGAGTTCCACATCTGACTTTCCTTGTGTTCGTTAGACTCTTGGTGTAATTAAATGTTACATTGAATAATCCAGCCTGCGCAGGGCGGTGTTCTTCTTCTAAGCTCTGGAGATGCTCAGGAAAGGTTTGGGGAGCTCAGCTGTGGGCTCACCGTCCCAGGAGCTCAGTTCTGCCTCTGTCCCATACGCTACTTGTGAAGGGTTTCTCCAATTGGAAACCATCACTGTTGTCTCTTTCTCAGGGTCAGCCCTCCTGGGGGTTGGGGCCTGAACAGCAATGAGCTGCAAAGGAGAAAAGGCTCAGTTTGAGGTGTCCTCTGTTGTACCCTAAAAAACACACCAAAGCCCCAATGGAGATATTGTTGGGGGGGGAGAAGAGCAGAACTCCAAGGGCTGGTCCCATCTTGCGCCCACCCCTATGTGACTGTGGACCAGTCACTTAACCCCTTTGGCCTCAGTTTCCTTATCTATAAAACAAGGAAGCTAAATTAGACCCTTCACAGCTCTACATCTGTGATCTTATGGTGCCATGTTCCTTTCCAGGATCCCTGGCTCAATCCTGGGCCAACCCTCTGATAAAGTTCTGAGGCACGGAGCAGAGAGTCTTGACACCCTGTTCCTTCACCTGGCTGGGAATCTTTGGACGTTGTGCATTTAGATCATAGGAATTTAGAGTGGGAAGGATCCTTAGAAATCATATATTCAGATGAGGAAACTGAGGCCATGACATGCTTCCCCAAGATCACAAAATGTATTAACAGAAACAAGGTTCACACCTAGGACCTTTGTTGCTAGATCTCAATCACATTCTACTCCCTTACACTGCTGCCGTTATATATCTGAATTATGTTAAATATGGAAGCTGGTGGTGGGGTGTGTATGGTAGGCTGAAGACATGCCCAGAGCACACCAAGCCAATCTTGGGTGTAGAAGTGACCCCACATTTTCAGATGAGAAAATTGAGCCTCTGTGAAGTGAAATGTTTTGTCCAAGGTCACTCAGCGGAGCCTGGATGGGACTAGCCATTGGAATTCTCTCCTTAAGAATCTGTCTTAGGGTCAGTGAGGTGGCACAATGGATAAAGCACTGGCCATGAAGTCAGGAGGACCTGAGTTCAAATCTGGCCTCAGACCAAACACTTTATGCTTACTAGCCTACTAGCTGGGCAATCACGCCCTAAAAAAAAAAATTTGTGGGGGTGCTGTGTGTGTGTGTGTGCGCGCGCGCGCCCAACCCTAATTGCACACACATGTTTTATAGTTGCTAAGTGTCAGAGGCAGGATTCAAACCCAGGTCTTCTGATTCCAAAGGCAGTGTGCATTCCATAGTACTAGGCTGCCTCCACAATCCACAAAACAGAATGAGAATCATTTTCTGCCTGTCTCCAGTTTCACAGTCACTGTCTCTACTGTTGATTCATGTAAGGCTAGGAGATGGAAATTGGGGAAATTGATCTGCTTAGCTACCCAGTTTTGAAAGCCGTGCCCCTCCACTCACCTACATCTTCATTCACAGACATCTCTTACCTATTTGCCTCTGAAAAGAGGGGGCATTTTCACAGATAAGCCAAAAAATAAAAGACATTTCCATTGGGTTTTGTAAGGCAGAAAATGAATATACAGTATTTGCAGCTGGTCTGCCTTCCTAATTATGTTGTCCTGAGGCTAATTTTGCAATGAGTTTGCATTCCTGGAGCAGACACCAGCTGGCCTGGGCCAGAAGTGGCCTGGGAGGTGACATAGGGAAGCCAGCCAAGGACCAAAAACCCCCTCATTGACTTTCTTGCAGATAATCCCCAAAGTGGCTAAGCTAGGGTCAGGTAAGGGGGCCAGCGTGGGATTCAGAGTCTTAGGACCCAAGTTTGAATTCCAGCTCTGCTATTTATTCCCTGTATTATCTTGGGCCAGTCTTTTAACTTCCGTTGAGTACCTCAGTTTCCTCTGAGGAAAAATGAGGGCAGATTCAGCAAAATGTATTAAGCACCTACTATGGGCAAGATACTGTGTCAGGTTCTAGGGCTATGAGGATAACATTTTTATAGGCCCTTCTCCAAGAAGCTTACAGTTTACAGGGGGCAGCGGGGTGAATGGGGCTTGCAGGAGACACATATACAAATAACTATGATACAAGAGAAAGTGAGAAAAGCACACGGAGAATCTGTGGTAAAGTGTTAAGAGAAATTTGAGAAAGGGATCACTTTGGGGAGGGGGATGAGAGGGAAGGGCTGGGAGGGGGTGGGGTGGGTCGGGACAGGTTTTATTGAGGGAAGACACTTGCGTTGGGAGACACTTCAGCCCATGGAGATGGAGTCCATTGCAAGGGATGAGGAATGGTGCAGTCAATGGCCCACAGATGGGCCCCAGAGTAATATAGTTTGGCTGGAACATGGAATATAGCAAGTGGAGTAGTGTGAGATGATGCTGGACAGGCTTCCTTCCAGCTCTAAATCCTATGAAACCTACAAGAGCTAATTGTCTTTTCTGGATGCAGCATTCCACAAGCAGCTATGAATGGAATTCTGGACAACAGCCCTGAATTTGCCTCTGGGTCCTGCCTAGAATCCCAGATGCCAGCATTACCTGGGTTATTGGCCCAGGGACTGGCACTCTCAATTGATGATTGCTTCCCAATATCATCTTAGGTGGCAGTCAGGACAACACTTCCCCTGGGTGAGAGAGAGAGAGAGAGAGAGAGAGAGAGAGTGTAGCCCAAGGGGTGGATGTCCATCTGTTACAATCTGTCATGCATCTGACAATTGTGCCCTGGCCCTAGAACCTGGATCTTAGACAGTCACATCTGTGTCTAACTTGGTCTGTGTGGTTGTTCATGCAAGGGTTCACCCCCCAAATCCTTTTTAATACCCTACACTTGAACAGTGTTTATACCTTTCCAAGGTCATTCATACCCATTGTATTATCCCATTTGATCTTCATAATTGCCCTGTGTGAACTTGTTAGGGGAAGGATAATTATCTCCATTTGACAAATGAGGAAACTGAGGCTCCGGGGCTTTAAAATAATTTGCTCAAGGTCACACAGCTAGTTAGTGGTACAGGCAAGACTCAAATATAGGTCTTCTGATTCTTAGAATGTATTGTCCCACCCACTCCTCCACACTACCTCTCACAGAGAGCAGCCTCCCCTTTTCAGTGCAGATGTTTCTGTGTGGCACTGATTCTAAGCTTCTGCAAGGGGGGGGAGAGGGAAGGAGAGAAGAGGGGGAAGTGAAGAGAGGGATATGTCTCCTAGAAGAAATGGTTCCATTTGGAAGGATGTTTTAAACATGGAGAGAGCCCATATTACCCAAGGCTCAGTGCTGGATGCAAAGTCATCTCCTGAATATGCAAGACCCCATAGACCCTTCTTTCTTTTTCCTTCTTTTTCTCCCTGTGCTGAGTCTTAAGTGAAAATGATCTTTCTTTTTTTTCCTTCCTTCCTTTTTTGTTTTTAAAGGAAAAGAGATCTGTGTTTTGTTCCACCTTTCCCCCTGGGGCCCCTCCAGAAGAGGTCGACACCATCCCAGTTTGAGAAACACTCCTTCGAACCAATCGCTGCCTGGCACTATTCCCTTGGGCGCCTGGCATGGGCACTGTGCCATCCGAGCAGATGGCCGTGATTGCAGGCAACCCGGAGACCCTGCATGCGAATCAAGTATGGGTGTTTACAGCATCATTTCCCCGCTGAGAACATCAAAATGGCAGTCCATGCCGAGCTCCTGGGCCTAGTTAGAAGGATGAACCATCACTAATTCTGTGCTGGGCGAGACAGCCTTAAAAAAATGAGGCATCTCTGCTGTCACTGAGAGGTGCCTCTTCTTTGCCTCCTACTCTGTCTGCCCTACTAGCTCCTCTCCCTCTCCATTGTAAAGAGACAAGGAAAGGACTTTATCCTGGTGAGTGGTTTCCTTTGGCTGGGCTCCCCCCCCCATACTCCCCTAAATCATATCTGTGCTTCTAGACTTGGTTCACGTTTTACTTCCTCCATGATGCCTTCCTTGATAAACCTGATTCCTTTCTCTATGCATCCTCACTTTGTGACCTCTGGCAAGTCACTTAAACTCCAAGTCCCAAGCAAGCAACTCTTTGAGACTATAAGATAATGGATTTTCATCTGCATCAGTGGAGGGAATACAATCTGTAGCGGATGGAACAGCCCTTTCTTAAGGGTCTTCTGATTGTTTTATGTCATTTGCTCTTGTCCCCACCTCCACTCCCATCCCCACTAGACTGTGAGCCCCTCTAGGGCCAAAACTGGGATTTTCTTAGTGCCTACCGTGGGATGGGGGTGGGGTTGAGGCCCACACATAGAAGGTATTGGATAAATATAATGTATGACTCTACAGTGATAAGACTTGCTTCCTTGTGTGACTCCCAAATTGGCTCTGAAGGTGATTCTGAAAGAGGATTTCCATTCACATTGGGAACAGTGGCTGCATTGTGGAAATAAGTGTGCCATCTCCCAAGGGGACTATAGGGAAGGTGATGATGCCAATGTGAATGGAAAGTTCTGGGAGATAGATAGAAATTCAGTCATCTTATTTTATTCAGTCTTGTCCATGTTGGTTGAGTGGCCCCAAGGAAGCTGCTCTGGATGAGTCTGACTTTCAAAAGGACCAGGACAGAGACCATAAGGAATTACTGGCCACGACAATTACCCTCCTCCTACAAAGGCTTCTCTTAGCTTTCTCCAGCTCTTTGGCTCATAGCTCTGAAAGTCTGATAGCTCTAAAATTTGAAGGGAACTTGGAATCCAACCTCATCGTAAGGAAGTGGAGCTTAGAGAGGTTAAATGATTTATATAAGGTCACATAGATAGTAAATGGCAAGGTAGGGATTTGAACCCAGGTCTTCTGACTCCAAATTCATTTACCCACATCTCGAGCTGTAGAACTTGAGAGCTACAGGGACAGAGCTCATAGTCCAACTCCCTTGGTTTGCACATGAGGAAATTGAGGCCAGAGAGGGAGAGTGATTTGCCCATAAGTCAATACATGGGCAGCT